CCACATGACTCGGCCTCCCGCGATCTTTACGATCGGCCCTCCGGACGTTCGATCTTACCTCGCGACATCGAATCTCCAGCCGGGACATCCAAGACGTACCTACCTGTTTTCCTTCGCGATTCACTTTCAATATTATGAATTATTTTATGTTTCCTGCCATAAATCAACATCTGGATGTTTGATCTTCCCTCTCGGATGCTACGAATCTCGGAACGCAGGGACGATCCTCTGTTCCTTCGAGTCTCGCTTATGAATTATTTTATTCCCCAGCGCAAACAAGCGGCTAGATATTTACCTTTTACAAAGTTAGCGATCATGCGACGACTCATACGCTATCTGCGGTCGTAGCTCGTATTTTTCTGCGATATCCGTTTGTTTAAAACCAACTTGCAAAATACCTCCGCTTAAGCGTCGGAAGTCTCCTCCGTCGATTAAGAAAGTACCGAAAGTGTCCTCAGTTTCGTACGCCGTGGTTGCCTCTGAATATTTAATTTCTCCTCCGGAGTTTCCCTATCACGACCGTCTTCGTACTTTTCCATATTCTCTCTTCATTTTCCAAGCTAACTCTCGAGATCCAGTCAAACAGTAAATAACGTAGACGTCCTGTTGAACTCGACGTTATTTGCCATCGAATCAGCCGAGATAAAAGATATTTTTTCGAACTTGATCGACGGCGAGTCTCTCTCGAGGTACAAAGTGTCAGCGACAGCCAGACGACACAGGGTAGCGAACGACATTCACTTAATACGAGGGAAATTACGAGCGTCTCGTTAATGAGAGTCGCGTCGGATAATCACCGTAAACGACGGGACTTCACGCGAGAAAAATTCTTCCCTCCCGTGTCGGCGTCGGCAGGGATTGTAGCCTCGTGCGAGGTAATTTGCGCACAGTGAAGAAGGAGATAATTTTTAAATGCGATTCCAAATTAATGCTCGCGTGTCCTTATGGTTCAACATCCCCATTTCCTTCGACGTAATTTGCATTTAACACTGAACTTACTGATACTTGTACGTCTGTTCCTACCGTCTGAAATCACCGGTCCTTCGAAAGATTTTTGTAATTAAATTTAGGTAACAGTCCATTTGTTACTGAGTGAGTTAATAAATGAACGTTCGTTCCCGTAAACATTGGCAAGTTAGTCAGTATCAAAGAGATAGTGGAGTTTGTCGATCTTGAATATTTATAATAAGTATGGATTTTTATGCAAAATGAATTTTTATTATAATACGAATTTCGTTGTCGATACTTGGTGCATTTTTGTGTTAGTAGATATTTGGTGTTCTTTTTACGTATCTAATTTCCTCATAAACGCATAAAATTCCTGTAGCCTGTTTATAAGTTTTGCAACATCCTGTGTCGAGTTTTCTTCCTCTCCTCCGTTTCCGGTCGTTGTTCAGGCAATTCCTGTCTAATGCAGTTATTAAATTCTATGCAGTCGTTATAAAAATTCCGGCGAAATCATACGCAGTTCGCCGTCCATAAAATTCAATGTTTCCCGTTTACATTTTCCGTCGTTTTTTTTCCCGGTTTTATGCTTCCTCTTCCTTTTTTACTCTCTAAACTTCGATGCGAGCATTCCTTCTGATATTCGCGACGAGGAGATCGATCGTCGAAGGAGGTCGGCCCGGGCGATATTGTGAAATTTTACGAACCATAGATACCTACCCGGGGAATTTCTGGTAGCAGCAGACGGCGGCACCATATGTGCGAAACGCGGCCCGCCGCCGTACGAAATTGTTTTTAGCGTTATGTTTCTGTATTAACGCGCCCGATGCGCCTTCCTCCCGGGGTTAAACGCGAACGCGCTCTCCCTCCTATTATTCGACCGGAATTTCGTGAAGGTGCAGCACCTTCTTTCCAGACGACGTTCACCTATCTACGATCCTACGTATACCTACGTAGGCCGCAGATTCTCCTCGTGCGGGAGAGAATATTTGAAATTTTTTCCTGCACGTAAAGTTACGCGTCGTTACACGAGACTATACGGGTTGATACTGGGATTTGGACTTGGACACATGAGAATGGATCGAGCGTTCAAACGGGGACTTAACGCTAAGTGATTGAGAAGAAGGGTTCCCATCCCCGTCCCAAGCGTGTTCTCTCTGTCTTTTACGGGGTTGACAAAAATACTTTAAACGTTCGGTAGATATGTTAGAGAAGTCACGTGACTACTCTTATTTAGACTGCATGTATGCGAGTGCAGAACAATTTCCTGGATACAGACAAATGAATTGCGTGAAGCGAATACAGTGGAACACGAATGGCCGAGTTGGTAGTAAGATTCGAGCGAAATTCAAGGCCCGGGTGTATTCGAGAATCAAATTCACGAAATGGAACGGTAATCGAGGAATTTTTATCGGCTTTTCTCCGTTCTCTCTTTCCCCGTTCGAATATCGGCTATTGAAGAATTCTGGTTGCTTGTTACCGAAATACCACGGAAATAGAAATAGAATAGGAATCCGTTATCTTGGCGAATCGAAAGCGTAGCGCGGCGCAATTCGGCGCGAAGTTTTCCCGGCTAGTAATTTGATTCGCCCGGTGATTAAACTCCTCTCGATCTCCGTGAGTTCCGAACCGTCGCTCATGCCGCTGTTACATAAAACAGTATTAATCCAGTGTCCCGGATCAATGGGTCGGATCTTCGGTCAGACGAGCCACTTTATTACCTTCAAAATCTGTGATCCGTATCTACGTATCGAACGGCTGATTAAATGGACGCGAACGCGGGCAGAAGTGATCGCGATTACGTTCCTCGATTCCAGTTTTTATTAAGCAAAGAATTTCGTTCTGTACAAATTGTATTTAACGTCTGTGACGGAACGTCGAATAGAACACGGGTGACTGACTGACTGACAAATTAAATAATGATCCAGATTCCGGGAATTTCGTTAGTGACGTCGGTCGAAACGTTGAAGGGAGAAGCGTATGCTCGCGGAGAAATATATTATACAAGCAGCGTAGCGAGGAACCTGCTTTCCCTTCTGAATCCTTTCTTCTCCTCGATTCGCGATCGCATTACACGGATTTGGAACCTTTCCAACGGAGCTAGTTCCTGATTTTTAGACTGAAAATTGAGGCGAAAAGTGTATGCAAAGTGTGTCTGGATTTTTCTCGGATTCCACCGTACGCTTTCAAATCCGACGATACGATCTTCCGGTTATAAGCTACGCCCGATCTATCTCTTCACTTACAATTAGGCCGCGTCGAATTAACAGACTTGTTCGTTTATCACTTCGAAAAAGGCGAGACGAACATGCCTTGACGATGAAATACGTACGTTGGAATAAATTCGAAGGACATCGTCGAATCGATAAAATAAGTAATCGGTGTTAACGTTCGTAGATTCTGCGCTCTATTAAATTACTGGCGAAATAATCGGTATTTCCGCTTGGATGCCTGTTTGACCGTATTAATTTCGCCACAATATTTTGCGCGCCGTTTAAGCGATCCGATCGGATGCACCGCGAGGACGCGGCGCTTTCACGGTGAAAAAAAAGAGAGCCGGAAGTAAAGGAAAAATGGAACCGGAGAATAAAATTTCGGACTATACGAATGCAGATTTATCGAGCGTGCAAGGCACACCTTTTTCAGTTCGTCGAATGAAACACAAAACTTCGATGCCGCTCCTCTGTCCTCTTTCTCTCCCGCACGGTCCTCATCCGCTTTCAACGCGTACATTCGAGCCATATATATCCGACGGTATCGCGGAAAATTTCGATGAAATTGCGAATCGAGGACGTGAATGAGAAGAGGCAACGTCAAGGATCCTGCGTTGACACCGTACTTTTTGTTCCGTCCTCATTCCGATTTTTATCTCACTTTCGGAGTGAACGGACCCATGAATAATGAACCGGTCTTCAGCCTCGATACGTTCTATCGGAAAAATTGGTAAACACCTGACGCGAGGCGTAGCCGCGTTAAATGTTTTCATCGTGGTTCGCCTCGGGAAAAACTTCGGTTCGTTTAATTTCGTCCCTGGCCATAATCCGTTACCTCCGCGTAATCGGAGTGGGTGAAGAACGCGACGAGGGTTAATTTCGACGAATTTCCAAAGTAACTGCGTCGTAGTACGATTTACGAGTGATCGGGAAATGGTAGATGCGGTCGGATAACGGAATCGCGTTAGTATTCCCGGCGAACGCGTATTTTATTACACGAAATCGGGCCGCGTGTCAGAGATCCCAATTCCGATGCCCCGAAAAATCTGCACGCGTTTTCCTTTTCTATAATCCATTTCGCGGAGCGTCCCGCGCAGCAGTTTCTGGCAAGATCGAGGGAGCACGAACGAATTTAATGAACGTGACCGGATCTTATCGACAGGGAAACGAAACTCCGAAACCGGATAGGAATCTCGTTGAAACGCTTGGCACACTCTCGGACTACGTAAACGCGATCAATTTCAGATGGAAAACATCATTCTTATTACTTCCATTCTCTCTGCCTGGCCACCACCCCTTCCTCGTTTTTTACCCCGCTCTGACCAGGATAATTTACGTCTTCTTGTTTCTGGTTTACGTAATATCGTCCGCGCCGCAGTGGCTCGGAAAGCGTGCCGCGTATTGTTCGACGGTACATTCGTTGTGAATAATAATGACGCGTAAAATCGTTTGTCGGGGACCATCGTGATTTTCTATTGAAAATATCGCAACATTGTGCGATGTTCAATTGCCATCAATTGAATCCGTCCCTCGTGTTTCATTAGAATCACACGTTCGAAGTTCAGTCTTTTATATCGCGTTATTATTAAAACGTGATGAGGTACCATTGTTGCGGTCGGTGTTCTCATATTCTTACCGTTGCTAATTTACGATTATCGTGGCGAGGTTTGGAAAAATTCAACGTTAATTCGCACGTTGCGTGCGTTCAGATTTCGATCCAAACGTTGCTGTTTATCCTTTCTTTCGTCGTTCGCGCGGATCGCGTCTGCACAGGCAGGAATATTTTTCATCGTTATGGGATCACCTACGGTAGTCCTGATCGAACGATCGAATTCGTTGCAGAGGCACCCCGTGGGACGTACCTGCTGATAGATGGGCGCAGGTTGGACCCGGGCAACCAATTCGTCCCGGTAAAAGAGGGTTCCGAGTTGACGTTGGAGTGCGCCGCCGAGGGTGGAAACCCGCCGGCCGATTTAGCCTGGGGAATGACTCTGTCTCAAGCTACTTTGGACGGGCCCGAGCAGCCGCCGGATAATCTGACCGTGTTGCCTTCGACCACCGGCGGACGCAGCGGGGCTCACCTCAAAGTCCTCAGGAGACACCATAACGCCACCATCGCCTGCGTCGCCCATCACGTCACCCTCCCGATGCCCTTAAACGCCAGCATACTCCTCGACGTGCAATGTGAGTATCTTTATGTTTCATCGCATGGAAATTTCGATATTTTCTGTTTATATTTAAAATCGTGTTTAGTACGTAACACAAATTGCAATATAGAACGATGCTTTATTTCTATTTATGTGAAAATATAAACGAAGAGTCGTTTAAATCGAATAGAGAAATGTATACGGATATCGCCTTACGACAGGCTCCATTGGACTCCGTATAATTGTCGTACTGTACACTCGTTTCTCATAAAGCGAGGACGAACGACCAAAGGAAGACCATAAGATTTTATCGCGGAGACGGTCGAACGCGAACACAGTGATAACTGTGACGTCTCGTTTTAAACCGTCTTTATATCGCGGCTGGGTTATAGTCGTTGTCTCGTCTCGAACTCGTCACCTTAGTCTCGGTTGAAACTGTCGTATAATTTCGAGCGCGTCCCACCGTAAGCCGTCTCGTCTCGTTCGCTCTTCGACCTTTCCGGTTTTTCTCCGGAAGAGCTCGGAAACTCTAAACACCGCCCGTGACTCGCGCCCCCGTAAACTTGCACTCCGTTGAGTTTCCAACCAGCGAATCTTCCAAAGCTTTATGAAATAACAGAAAATCTTCCTCTCCGCGTGGACAACGGGGAAACGTCGGTGATCTCCGCTTAAGAGTTGCTCGAAACAATGGCTCGGGATCTGGTTTAAAATGCTGACGGGAAATTGCTGGCAAAACGGGATTAATTATCGTGTATTCGGATAGTCGGCAAGCGGGAACAAAGTTGATAGACTCGATGAACGGCGATGGTATATATACGTACGACCGCAAATTTGAATATCTAAGTAATTTGTATCCCGCTCCTGGGACCGTGGAAAGTTACGTCTCGCTTCTGTGACTGCAACAGCTCGCCGGGATAATACAGGTTTAGCAAACTAAACAATTAGAATTTATTAATAGCAGCGTCGTGTTCTCCATTCCGGTACTCTGACGACCATCTCTCGTTCTCTGACCCGGCGAAATTCATCAAGCATTCCAAGCGAAAGAGACGAGATTTTTCCAACGACGCTCGTTTTGGAAACGCGGCTGTTAACCGAACGAGTGGACTCGCAATTAGGTCACCGTTCCGTACTTTAGTCATCGCGTTCCCCCAAGTCTCGTCTCGAACGAAACGATCGCTATTTATCCCTCCCGGCCTCTCGGTACAACGGAATACATCGTCGTTATGAAAGATCCGCGGCGGTCGGAAGATAGGGAGGAGCGGACGGAGCGAAGAGTTACGAGCGTATTATTTAGTTGATGCCGCGTTGAATTTGCCGGCGGCCGTGCTCGAGATCTAATTTCTGTAGACTTCGTAGCCAGCACAATTCCCGTTGAAATATTAGGTAGAAGAAATCGCGATACGACGGGTACCCGGTGGACGGGGGGGGAAGGGAAAAAGCTCGCGGACGGCCGGCCGGGGAGGCGCGTTTTAAAAATGGGCTTAATTCAAGTCAAGCGGCCAGGAAGTGTTATAATTCCACGGATCGTTTTTCCTCCGAACTCGGTCTGCGGTTGATGGGAGAATGGGTGGACAAGAACGAACCGACTACAAGGGATTTTCGTGATATTAGAACCGGGACGAGCACGTCGGGAAACGGGTATTGTTGCACGGGCGAGAGAGAGAGCAGCGATATACAAGTTGGCCGATTATTAAAGATTAAATTAAAAAGGTAAATCAAGCCGGTTCCCACGGGTGTTACCTCGATGACTCACCATGGAAATATTACTTTATATTTTTATTCTCTCTGACCGAAAGACACGAATGTTCTCATAATATTGCGACAATTAAGACTGATGTTGTGTCGGTCAGGGTATTTCATTACCTCGGTATGTATGTCGTTGTTATTCCATCGAATTTTCCCGTACGATACAGAGAGGAAATTTCGGAAACGTGGGAGAAGAGATGAGAACGAAGATATTTTAAGAATGTCTGACGATGGCCTCGCGTGAGTCCTGTTTTTCGGGTTATTAATTCCGTGCAATTTACTCGAAATTTTCCAACCGGCCCGGGAATTCGTCGGGGCTCGCGGTCGTTCATCGTTCAAGTAAATTTTCCAACGTACGGACGATACTTGCTACGCGGGTTATCGTTTATTGCGATCAAATTAGAGTCGTTGATGCAACCGGGCAGAGGAATCAGCTCCTCCTTCTCGTACCCTGGCGTAAAATCTACCGAAAGAGATTTCGCGTTACTATCTCTTTCTGAAGAATAAACCGAACGGAGAGACGATCCCAGAGAAACAACGTTAAGGATGTATTAGCTATACAGTCAATCCTAAAACTTTATGTACTTCAGAAAGACGCATTTCCTATAATTAAAAATAGTGCATT